GGAGCGGCCACTGCACTCCAGTCTAGGTGACAGAGTGAGATTCCAAATCAAAAAAAAAAAGCAAGTGCCATCATATTGGCTTCTGTGTGAGTCAGACAGTGAGTCCATCGCTCAGTAACACTATCAACACTGTAAATGTCCATGACCCTTGGCCCAGCAATCCCACTTTGAGGAATTTTTCTTGCAGATAATAATTGCATGTGAATAAAATGAATTTCTACATTGTTATTCATCAAGGGCACTATTGGTGATAACCAAGGATTTGAAACAATGCCAGTGTCCAATGTAGAAGTCTGTTTTGTTTTGTTTTGAAAGTCTCACTTTGTCTCACTCACCTAGGTTGGAGTGCAGTGGTGCAATCACAGCTCACTGCAACCTTGGGTTCAGGTGATCCTTCCATCTCAGCCTCCCAAGTAGATGGGATTACAGCCTTGTGCCACCATGCCTGGCTAAATTTTTGGTTTTTTTGTAGAGACAAGGTCTCACTATATTGCCCAGGGTGGTCTCAAACTCCTGGGCTCAAGAGATTCTCCTGCCGGGCTCAGTGGCTCAGCTTGTAATCCCAGCACTTTGGGAGACCGAGACGAGTGGATTGCCTGAGCCTGTGGGTTTGAGACCCGCCTGGGCAACTTGGCGAGAACTTGTCTCTACAATAAATCAAAAATATGAGCCGGGCGAGGTAGCGCGTGTCTGTAGTTCTGGCTACTTGAAAGGCTGAGGCAGAAGAATTGCCGGAGCCCAGCAGGTCGAGGCTGCAGTAGCCGTGACCATGCCACTGCACTCCAGTCTGGGCGATAGAGTGAAACTCCAACTCAAAAAAAAAAAGAGATTCTCTTGCCTCAGCCTCCCAAAGTGCTAGGGTTACAGGTGTGAGCCACTGTGCCCCGCCAATAGAGTTTTTGATAAAGAAATCATAACATATCCATGCAATAGAATACTATGCAACTTGGAAAAATAAATAAAAATAAAAGAAGAATTGATATGGAAAAGACCTCTAAAATACTGTTAAACGGAAATAAAAATCAAAGCACAGAACGTCGTGAATCATATGCAACCTCTTACACCAAAAAGAGAAATAAAGGAATGAGGCTTTTGGTGTTGGCAACTGGAAAAAAAAAAAAAACTGGGAGGACATGTGGAAAACTAAGAACAGCAGTTAACTGCAAGGACAGAGGAAACCGAGAAGACACAGGACTGGGGGAGAGTGTGGCTTTTCTCAGTATACCTTTCTACACTTTCTGGTTTGGAAATCGTATATACAACAAGGAAGAAAGGGATGGAGGGAAGAAATGAAGACACAGTCAGATCTCTCTAGACTGTAGGGAGAGACAGAAAGGGGATGTGAATAAGCCCACATCCCAATTAAAGCAAAACCCAGACATCCCTCCATGACCTGGGGATGAGCAGACTCCTCGGCAGATGACCCGTAGTGAAGGGAGCTGGCAGGTGCTCGCCACCCAGCCTCTGGCCCTCCCTGGATGGGGGTTGATGAACAAAGATGGGGGTGAAGGTCGGGTCCTGAGAGGAGAGGGACCAGGTGGGGATAGGTGAAAGGTGGAGAGGTTCCCTGCGATCTCTTGACCTTAAGTTTTGGCAATCATGGGCAGTCACCTGAGTGTCCTTGCCAAATGAGCCCTCTGGGACACGTGAGGACCCTCCATGCTAAAGTCTCCTTCTATTTAAAACCGTGTGTATATGACATCACAGCTCTTTCCTATGAAAACCAAAGGAGCATCTAAAGACCATCCAGTCCAGCTTCCTCAGGTTACTCATGTGGAAACTGAGGCCTTGGAAGGACAGCGACTTGCCCAGCTGGGTTAGCGGACTAGACCAGGAACTGTCCTTTCTGCTACACAGGATGAGGTGTTGGAAACACTGGTGTCCCAATTCTGGTGCTCTTTCACTTTCTGACAGGGAATACACAGCACTACCTGTTTTACAAAAAAACAGCAGGCCCTGGCATTCAGGTTGCTGGGCCATGTTCAACCCATTTGAGGGCTTCCCTTACAAGTCCTTATCGTAGGTCCCATGGACCTTTAAGAGCCTAAAATTGTATGCAAATATTCTGGGTATGTACATATGCACATTTCAGAGAGGAAAGGGTGCAAACTTTTCTTCAGATTCTCAAAGGAATTCTTGACCCCAAGAAGGTTGACTCCCAGAACTCCAGATTTCTTAGAATCTCCAACCCTTCACCTCTCTTCCTCCTCCCATCCATTACACAGATGGTATCACCAAGGTCCATAGAGGGGAAAACGGCTTGCCCCAAATTTCAAGGCAAGTCCTGGTAGAGATGGGTCTGGAACCTGGGTGTCTCATGTCCCTGTCCGAAGCCCTTCTCCCAGCCACGCGGACATGGAGTTCTGACCCACCTGACAGGCACGGCGAGGGGCAGCGGTGGACCCGGGCCGGGCAGGTGGTGGTAGAGTCTTGCCTCCTGCTCGTGGCTTTGGCCGAGCTCGCGGAACATGGAACTGAGGCCGGCGACCGTGCCTTTCTGGATGGCGCGGAGCGAGTGGCGTCGGTACTCGTCCCGGGCGCGCTGAGCTCCGCGGCTCCTCTCCTCGTCAGCCGCCTTGGACCGGCGCACTGGAAAGTGGGAGACAGGCGTTGGCCCAGACCCGCAGTGTAGGCTGGGCACTGAGCAAGCCAGGACAGGGAGCAGTCCAGGGGCCCCAGGATTCACTCAAGCTGGCCCCAGACCCACGTGAGCTGCATGGAGACTTGGAGCCCAGGAATGGTGGGACAAGCCCTGACCAGCCCTATCATCAGCAGCCGTAGGACAAACCTGTCCCTATGGGGGTAAAACACTCATGACAGTGTTGGGTTTTCTGGCTGTGCCTGTGGCTCCATTCCAGAATGAACAAGCAACCTGTGGATGGAAACTTCCATCTCCATATGTATTTCTTCCCAGGAATGCCCTGCTCAGAGCAGCTTCTCAAGCCCTGTGCCCACCTGCCCAGCCTAGAGGGCACCTGTCAGGTTGGTCAGTATCTCCTAATGCCATCCCGATCACCCACATTGACTGTGGGCTTTCTCTGTGCCAAGTCCTGGGCTTGCCTGCAATATGTCATCACAGACACTTCCACCCAGGGAGCACATATCACCATTTTTACTCTATGGGTGAGGAAACCCAACCTCTGGGAGGTTAAGTAAAGTATTTTGCCCAAAGTAAAACAACTAACAAGGGGCAGAACCAGGAAGGGAATCCAGGTGTGCCTGGTTCTAAAACCCATACAGCTCATCTCTCCACATGGTCCGCCTCTTCCTTCTATTTAAAACCCTGTGTAGGCCGGGCATGGTGGCTCAAGTCTATAACCCCAACACTTTGGGAGGCTGAGGCAAGAGGATGGCCTGAGCCCGTGGGTTTGAGACCAGCCTGGGCAACATGGTGATACCTCGTCTCTACAATAAATCAAAAGATGAGTTGGGCATGGTAGCACAGGCCTGGAGTTCCAGTTACTTGGAAGGCTGAGGCGGAAGGATCGCCTGAGCCCAGCAGGTTGAAGCTATGGCAGCCAGGAGCGTGCCACTGCGTTCCAGCCTGGGCGACGGGGTGAGACTCCAACTCAAATAAATAAATAAATAAATAAAACCCTGTATCTCCGACACCACAGACCAGGCCAGGAGCTGTCCTTTCTGCTATACAGGATGAGCTGTTGGAAACACTGGTCCCAATTCTGGTGCTCTTTCATTTTGGGGTTCCTGTGACCTTGAGAGTTGGTGCGTGAGTATGTTGGAGGGAGGGGGAAGAGGATCTTCTGAAAACTCTGAATCCTAAATTGTACCCCGCATTCTAAAATAAAAAGAAAAGAAAAGAAAACTCTGTCACTCCACAGGTCACAGGACTCCAGGACACCCCTCTCCCTGACCTTCTGCCTTTTTGTGCTCCTCAAGGAGGGGCCCTGTCTCAGCCAAGTGGCCCTGAAAAGACATCGGGGTGCTGTTGCTTCTAAAGCTCAAAAAAGGAGGTCTAGAACTGGGGAAAAGGAGGGGCATTAAAACCTATTGGAGGCAAGGCCTAGATTTAAAGCCAATTATTTTGGAGCCTGAATGCATCTTGGCAGGCCCCTGTCTGCCTCTAAAATCCAGTTATTTTATAGATAACTCTTGCTGGCCTTGTTCTCATTGTACCAGGCTAATGATGGCCCCTGCCTGAACAGGTCACCTCCTCGTAGAATAAAATCTTAGTCTGTTTCTACTCCAATACCATTCGACACACATATAGCAGGCACCCACCAAGTACTGTGCTCTCTGTTCGCATTTGGAGGATAATGGTCAGTTGCCCTGGTCCTGAAAAAAATATTTCTATTTCACAAGTTGTCAAAGACCCTTTTCTAGGAGCATAACATCCCCCGGATCTGAGGAAAGCAGCATAAAGTCTGTTCCTCAGAAGGTATTTATGGAAGTCCCATCATGGGTGTCACATGCTAAATATCCACTAGGCTGTGAACCCCAGGAGGGTAGGTAGAGAGTTCTCTTTGGTCTATTCATTGCTGTCTTCCAGTGCCATGAACAGACACATTTTTGGATGATTGAATGCACCCAATTAAGTATTTAATGCAGCACTAGACCCTGAGCTGGACACAGAGATAACAAAGAAACAGACCCTTCTTTCAAGGCACTCAGAGCCAAGCTGAGAAAATAAGACAAATAAATATCTCTACTGTAAAAAAGTAGTGAGCATCATTTTTTAAAGGAACTAATAAAATACTGTCAGAGTTTAGGGACAGCAGCATTCACATCCTGCTAGGAAGCCAGCAGCCCTCACAAGAGACAGAATTTGACTGGGTCTGGGAAGATCAAGGAGAGTTTTCCAAAGAAAGAAGAGGGAAAGCCGGGCTCAGTGGCTCAGCCTGTAATCCCGTGCCTTTGGGAGGCTGAGGTGAGTGGATTGCCTGAGCCCGCGGGTTCGAGACCCGCCTGGGCAGCGAGACCTCATCTCTACAATAAATCAAAAAATCAGCCGGGCGTGGTAGCGCATGCCTGTAATTCCGGCTACTTGGAAGGCTGAGGCGGAAGGATCGCCGGAGCCCAGCAGGTCTAGGCTGTGGTGGCCGGGAGTGGCCACTGCACTCCAATCTTGGCGACAGAGTGAGACTACAACTCAAAAAAAAAAAAAAAAGAAAGAAAGAAAGAAGAGGGAGGAGGCTATTCCAGGGAGAAAACCTGGGGGTTTGTCATCTCACAGATTACAACACTCCAAGATACCCCTCTCTCCAATCTTCTGTCTTTCTGTGCTCCTCAAGGAAGGACCCTGTCTCCACCAAGTCATCTTGAAAAGATATCTGTGTGCGGCTGTTTCTAAAACTCAGTAGGGAGGTTTGTACATTCTGGATAATAAGAAGGCCGTGGTACCAGCCTTGCATTGTGGTAGGCAGCTCTAACAAGGTCAGGATGCCCAGGGATGGGCTTTGTAGTCATTAGAAGCTCATGCCTTACAAGGGGCCAGTGACTTTTGGAAGTTTACAGCCTCTGATAATCAGCAACATTCAGTGACAGACAGGTTGCTGAAGAAAACTATGGTCAGGTATGGTGACTCATGCCAGTAATCCCAGTACTTTGAGAGAGCAAGGCCAGAGGACTGCTTAAGCCTAGGAGTTTGATACCAGCCTGGGCAGCATAGTGAAACTTCATCTGTACAAAAAAAATTTTAAAATAAGCTAGGCATGGTGCTGTACGCCTATAATCCTAGCACCTTGGGAGGGCAAGGCTGGAGGATTGCTTGAGCCCAAGAGTTCAAGACCAGCCTAGGCAACACAGTGAGACCTCTCTCTACAGTAAAATTTAAACATTAGCTGGATGTGGTAGCACACACCTGTAGTCCCAGCTACTCTGGAGGCTGAGTCAGAGGGATTGCCTGAGCCCAGGATGTCGAGGCTGTGGTGAACCATGATCATGCCATTGCACTCCAGTCTGGACAACAGAGTGAGACTTCAACAGAGAGAGAGAGAGAGAGAGAGAGGAAGAGAGGAAGGAGGGAAGGGAAGGAGAGAGGGAGGGAAAGAAAGAAAGAAAGAAAGAAAGAGAGGAAGAAAGAAAGAGAGGAAGGGAGGAAGGAGGGAAGGGAGGAAGGAGGAAAGGGAGGGAGGGAAGGAGAGAGGGAAAGAAAGAAAGAGAGAGAGAGAGAAGGAAATTATGCAGACTAGGAAGACAGATTTTTGGAACTCAGAGAAGTGAGGCCCTGAGCCATTAGTCACACAGAGACTAAACCCATCCTCCTAAAGTCCAAATCTAATCTTCTCATTCTCTTCCTCAAAACCTTCAGTGGCTCCCACTGCATAACCGATAAAGTGCAAATACCTTGGCATGGCAGGCTGCCCCCCTACTTTTCCCAGATAGGGCCTCTGAGGGCCCCAACACACACATACACACACACACACACACACACACACACACACACACCCCACTTGCCTCTGGGCAGTTGTGTTCACCGACTTAGACCAACCCGGGTCAGCTCTGAAATGCCAGGCCCTGCTCCCTCCCCTGCTCAGGTAGAAAAGACTTTAGAATTCAGATGATCCCATTAGTTACATCCTACAGAGTAAGCAAATGCCTCAAAGCAACATCAATCTGTAGTCATTCCTGTGGGTGAATAGATGAGTGTCCCCTCAAATTACTGAATAATCCTGCAATACAGGAAAAGTCATCAATAAATATTTAAACTGTGTATGTGTGTAAATGTGTTTAAATTCTATTCCGTGCAATCTTGGGCTACTTGAGTAACCCTATCTACACTTTCTTTCTTTGTCTATAAAATGGGGCCTCATAGTGCTGCTCTGAAGTGTAAAGGGGAAAGTACACAGAAGGGGTGTAGACAGTTCCTGGTACATGGTAGAGGTTCATTAAATAATATCTATTATTGTTATCATTGTGTTTGCTGTGAGATACAGAGGCTGGAATGGCACCTTGAGAAAGAGTCCCTCCTCTGGTGGACGTGAGGAAGTGTTGGGGGCTGAGTAAAGTCCGCGCCTCCTGTCAGGAAATAGGAAAAATGAAAACTGGGGGTGGGGGGGCTCCCTGACCCCGGGAAAGGGGAACAGGCCGCCCAGATGCTGAAGGGGACACACAGGCCTTTTGTGACTCAGCCTGCTGGAGCCGTGATCACCAGGGAGCGGATGTGTGTGGCACGCAAGACGATGAACCCTGAGAGGTGAACCTCCAGCAAAGCAAGCGAGGTTCGCCCACAGCTAAACTTGGGCCAAGGGGCTGGGCTCTCCCAATCCCTTTCGGAGGCTTCTGAGGTCCGCCGCCAGCCAGCCTGGTCCTGCAGGCGCTACCGGATGGCTGTCAACAGTGACGCCCTGTGGCCTCCAGGGGCAACTGCAGGACTTGCTTAAGACCTGAGCACGTCCCACCCCCACGTGAACGTCGGGAAGAATCAGCTTTGGGGAAATATAAAACCTCCAGGGATTCTTGAGCAATTCGAGATGAAAGACAAGCTAAGCAGGGCACGAATCGGCCTTGTGAGGACTCAGACGGTCTTTTTCCGGAGTTATAATACCAAAATCTGTGGCACCTAGAGAATAGGGAGCACGGGAAAAGCCCTTCTTTTGTTTTCTCCTTTAGCCGTCCTCCCAGCCCGAAAT